TGTGTTTCTCTCTTTCTATCACTCATTTAATCAATTGATACTGGATCACTTATAAGAGCTATTTACAAGTCAAGTCACACGTTGGTTGTGACTGAAGAGGTAAGCATGCCATTTTATCTCTTTTTGTCTCATTGTTCAACAATTCCAAACCAAGCTTTCTCAAAGTGAAATTCTTTAGGCATCTCATTACTACATTGAATTCCATCAAAGAATTATTTCATTCCTCTTGAGGAACATCAGCTATAGCATTCCGTTACATTAAAAAAAATGGAGGTGATGAAGGGCTAGTTATTGCTGTAGACTCCCGCCTCAGCACCAATGACGGGAAGAAGTCCTTTGTTAATGGTATATAAAGTCAAAGTTAGTTAGAACAACAACTTCGTTAGTAACTATCAAATATTTTTAATTGCAAATAACACGGATAAATATAATTTTAAAAATGAGAGGACATTAGTTGTGTGGGCAGGAGACAGGACCTCTTCAGGAGCGCGATGGTATTTCATTTATTGCTGTCGAGATGCGCAAGGATTGATGGTTGCTTTTGGGCTAGAAGCCCTAAAACTATTTATCCATAGATTGTGAACTCCTCATTGGAGACACAAACACCCAGGTAAAACTTCAATAATTGAAATTTTTATTTTTACTAACAAGGTGCACGCATGTGGACCACATAATTTGTCTAATTGAATTTGCATGTCATAATCATAAGTTGATTTGACAAAAATATATTATTTATGATATACATTTTAAGTTAAATATAAGTATATATATCTAAGTGATAAATGGCTAGGATCATACATATATATTTATTATGAAAAGCAAATTTCTAAGAGAGTGAATATATATGAGTTATAATCGGTTGACTTATTTCATATCCAATGATCTAACTCAATTTAACTCTCCTACTTTTTATAAATATAAACAATGATTCTTATACATCACATCAATTTTGATTTACTATTCATATATTAACATAATTTTAACTACATATCACTCTCGATAATCTTTCTCCTACTTTTACATCATATCAATTTTAATCATTATATTTCAAATATTATTTAATTTTAAACTCAAAATTATCCACTCATTTTACTTTATTCAAACTAACTCACTTTAACTAATTTTAGCCAAAAAAAATTAGTCAAGACTGGTTGGATCATATCCAATCATGCCTGAAAATCTCAACAAATATTCATTTTGGAAGTTCGAAGACTATAAATTTAATGCTAATTAAACAACATTTTCTAGTTTGTTGCTCCTTCTCAGGTGATGATTCATTGTTAATTTTGTTGTTCTTGTAACATCTGTTTCGTATTATCTCGTTTGTCTTCGGTTGGTTGTCCCGTCTAGCCGACCGAGATTTGGGATTGAACTTGTTTATTTCGGTTGCTGATAGTGGGGTCGTTGTTCCGGTTAACTAATAGTTCCAATATCGCTTTCTCTAATTTGCGCTGCTTATTTGGCTTTTACTACAATCCCTTTTGAATTTGTGCAATTAGTTTGTAATAATCAAGTCCCTTTTGAATTTGTGCAATTAGGTTGTAATAATCAAGTCACTCTTAGGTCAGATTTGTTCCTAGAATACTATATGGCAATCTAGGTGATCCAATGGTGTTTGATATCCTACTTCCATAGAATTGATTATTATTGTTTGAGGATGTACTGTTTTATTGTTGTAATCATTAAACTGAACAGGAAATAACAAGGTGGAGAGCAAACTAGTACAGGTTCCAAATGAAGTGGGCTTGTACCATGTGTTATGGGAAAGTATCCAAAGTGACGCTCAAGTGCTGTTGCATTTGCATGGATTTTGGAAACCACTGCTCCTATGAATGCCCTAAGGATGTGGTGAAAGCTGCCAAGTTTAAGGCCTATAAAGATTACTTGGCCGAAAGAGCATCGTCAAAGAAACTTTTGAGCTAGTCGTCTATTCCAAATGCATCGAAAACAAGGCAACCTTTTTTGAGTTACTTGCTATCTATATAATTGAAGCTAATGTAGTATTGTTAGACTGGAATCAGGGTAATGTAAATTTTCTTTATTCTTCCTTTTGTTCAAGTTTGCTAGAGCTTAAAAATCTGAAATATTTGCTTGTCAAGTTTTTGCATGCCAGGATCTTGCTTAATATCTGTGGAGGTATTTAGAAGTTTATTTATGTATTAATTAGTATTGTTGCTGTGCAAATGTGCGGGTGTATTTACATTAAAAGATTTTTATCAATTTTGGTGACGAAAATAGGTTCAATTAATGTTAAATTATATTGATTCTAAATAAATTTAAAATTAATTAGTAATATAAGACTCTAGTTTTTTATAAGTCTGCTCAAAGGATGAGTCCACTAGATATCGGATTTATTGATTTTAGAGGAAAACTATTATACTTTTTAATAGGTGATGATATGATTTTAGAAATTGATAAAAATAAATCAAATATTACTAGAAAACTAAATAAAAGATGGAAAAAAATAAATACTTTCTCATTCCATTTTTTTTTAGTTTTTTTATGCGATAGTGTGGCAGATATTGATGCCTTTTCATCTCTTTTTTCATTTTTTATTTGTATCTAAATGCTTCCTATTTATAATTTTTTTTAATGACTAATGTGATGTA